TTACTAAGAGCTGTATCTTGCAAAAACAGCCTAGCAAATGTAGCAAACTCAGCTCTAATGCACAGCACTCTCTTTATTTCTGGATGGCTGAATTATTATAGTCAAAATAGGCAAAGTTGAAATGAATAAAGCTAGTCTTCAGAAGTCCCTCACCCCACTCTCCATTTGAACAATGTACAGACCCAAATGGTTCAACTTAGGATTTTTACTTATGCAGACAATAGAAACCTTACTTCGAATTTTGATCTTTCCCTGGGTTAGTGATAAGTGGTAAGATACTCTCTTGTGATGGTGGCAGTGGCATTGAGCCACCGCTCCCAGTCAGCCACCAGATCACAAGGGTAATCAACTGATACCCTAGAGTGCACTGTGTTTTTCACCACAGTAGTCAATAAACCACATAAGATATTCAACTTATTATAAAATAAGGCTTATTATAAAATAGGCTTTGTGGTAGATGATTTTTCCCAACTGTAGACTCAAGTTAAGAGCACAAAAACAGGAAAAAACATAAGCTATGTGACATCTTGTTACAAAGTATATTTTCACCAAATCATATAGTCAAACAAACTCAGAAGATCATACAGTATTAGACCTTTTACATGAGGCAGCTGCAAATAAACAATACAAAGCTGTGGTTAATAGAGTAGTGCTGAAGTCAAAGGTCAGGTTAAACCTCAAATAGGAATCTCATGGTAGACTTCACCACTTGCTACTTAGCCTTTCTGTGACTCAAGGCTCCCTACCTATAACTAATGGCCCAACTCCTGACATCTTAAAAATGACAAGAAAACAGCCGTGAGGGAGGGGAATATTGGGAGAATTAAATGTGATAATACCTATCAAAAACTTCTAAAGAAGTATCTGGTACATAGCAGTCAGCACACTACCACCACCATTTCTACCATGATACTTTCAGGAATGGTAACACTCTCCCTCTGAATCTATCTAGTTTTTCACAACTCTTAACAAAAAGTTTCTCCTTTGTATCTAAAAAAGTACCTTCACACTTTAAAACCATTTTCTCTTTTTTTCATCCTCTGTGAATATAGATGAATGGGGAACTGGTTTATCATTTAAAGACTCAAGACTCTTTTTAGTCTTTTTATAATGAAATTCTTTTCCAAATATTATACAAAGAACAGACTGCTCCATGAATGATGAACACTTTAAAAAGCTCACAATGTATAATGAAATTCATAAAAGAATAGTTACAGAATCAAAAAGGTTAGGTAAGAAATGATGCTCAAAAAATACTGAATTCTAGAATAAAACACAGCAGGTCAAGAGCCTCCATGGTTTATAGTCATTCAGGTCACTTTATAAAAACATAGACGATGTTCTTGGTCACTTTTTTTTTTCATAATAGCAGGAAGATCCCATTTTCTTCACAATGAAAGGCAAGAGCCATTTCTTCAAAAACAAATTTGGTAGAGAAGACTTAAAAGATTCACATTTTCTATCACACTTATGCCTTACTTTAAAATTCTGAAGCATCAGCATTCTTTATAATCCAAAACATTAAGAAGAAACACAACTAAGCTTTATTTCTACTAGAAAACATTATGCTTGATAAAAAAAAACTAATCATCTAAAGTTTTGGTGCTCATAAGTTTATAAGTAATATCATGAATCAACTCAAAGGCCAAGTAGGTATTAGAGTTCATAACAGACCAAAATCCTAAACATGGAGAAATGTTTTAAGTAATTTAATTTTGTTGGAGCGGAGGAATTTAATTTTCATTGAAGTTCTGTGTATTAGATACTGAGGTAGGCTCTTTCATACACATTAAATAATTTCATTCTCTTAACATTCATGTGGGACAAGGATCATTATCCTCCTGTTACAAATAAGAACACTAAGACCCAGTGATTTGCCAAGGACACTTGCTTGTAGAAGATGCAATCAATTCCAATTTTCTTTTAAAAATTAATTTTTCAGTCTTTCATATAAGTAGACAACCCTGGAGGTACACACAACTCCATATGTGCACACGTTCACTCAGCCTGTCAAATTTTCTGACCCTTGGTTTAATGCTCTTGTTTTCACTGTACCATTGCACCATTTGCTTCCAAAACTCATTAGCTTTTATAAAGAAGGCCTTTTTTAATCTGAGAAAGGTAACGGTTGTGAGAGTAATAGAAAAGGTGTTCATGTTGCTACCACTACAGATTCAGTGTTCTTAATCGGACATGATTTGCTCAGTCCAGTTAAAGTGCATTGGTTCATGCTATTCACCCTCAAGAACATTTGCTTCTCTTCAGATATACAGCTTTCAGGCAAGACCTAATTCAGGAATTTCCTCCTCCAAGAAAGTTCCCCAGATTAAACAGCCTCCCAAACCAACATCCTTCCTTTATCACTTCACTGCTTGTATCTAATTTGGACTGCATTATGACATACTCCTCTTTGTTCTCCAGTCATATACCTGGAATTACATTTTTTCATTCAATAACTACTAAGCATTGGGGAGCATGGTGGTGAGCAAAACAAAGTTTTTGCTGTAATGGAGGGCTTACATTATTTGGAACTTGCACAAAGATAAAAATAACACATGGTATGAAAGTGTAATGTTCCAGGTCAAGGATTCTGAAGCTCTCTGAGGATAGCACTCCCCCTTGCAAACTTGGTAATATTTTTCAGGGAAAAAATTTCTTCCATATGTCTCCCAGATGAGACCTACAAGGCCTGGGAGGTGTTGGGAACCAAGGAGCTGAAGGACATAGATAAATTCTCTCAGAGAGATACTACATACTGGCATAAATACTCACACACCAGTTGAAACATCTCTTATACTGCCCCAGCCATAAAGAACTACTCCACAATTATTCCAATCAAGTCCTTACATGATATCCTTGCACTTAAAAGAAGTGTAGTTCTCAGAGACTTTGTTCTTCACATCGTATTTATGTATTATTTGCTGTTCATGTTCACAATAAGGTAGAAGTATGTTTTCTCTTTTTGAATTACACATGCCCTAAGATCACTGCTATAAACGTGGACATTATAACATAAATATTAAAATATAACACTCAGGAATTGTTGCAAGGATATTTTCCAAAAAAAAAAAATTAGAAAACTGTCTATGGATCAATTCATTGTTTTATCATTCATTCTTTAATTCATCCTTCTGAAGGAGTTATAAAGTAAAAACAAGTTTAAATATACTAAAAGTACACACTGAAGAGTCCTACAATTTTGTCCTTTTAAAAAAGATACTTTTGTAGCACAGCTTTTGTAAATTGATAATTTTCGCTTTTAAGATCATGCTAATTTCATAAATCAAACTAAAACATAACCTCGTTACACAGAATTGCATATCTATCCCTAAAGTATTTTAAGATTTTTATTTTTAAAAAATCAACCAATGAATTAGACACTACCAACTATATAAGTGCCATAATGTGTTGAAAGAAACATACTTGACCGTCTCTACAATAACATTTTAAATTTAAAAAATGTAGCAGCATCTTTTCACAGATCTAAAATAGTATGATTGAATGAAAGAGAAATAATAATGACCCTCTTTAATTAAATAGGCATTTCCCAGCACCTGTGTACAATGTACTGGGGTTCCAACAGTTCACATGGAATTTGACCGCAACAATTTAATCTCCATAATTAAAGACCTAAAAACTCGTTCTTAGGTTTCACCTATTCCCTTTCCCAGCACTCTGAACAGGCATATATATAGTAGTCATTCCATACATACTTGCCTTAAAAACGAATAGTAAACATTTGAAATTACTTGTACTTTTTAGAAGAGGGCAATATAAATGGCTTTACTTTTACTTGCCTAACCTGTTTTATGAAATTAGCACGATCTTAACAATTTCACTGAAAACAGAGTCTAGCAAGCATAGAAACTGATCACTCAGCATTATCAAGTTTAGTTGCCTCCCAAAAGGATGAAGGAAACTGAACAAGCATTTCAACCATGTTCCTCCACAATCCTTGCTCTCCTGGAACCCTACAGGAGGTAAAACTTAAATTATTATTTCAAAATACCCAAGGTGGAACTGCTCCGAGGCTAAATTCCAGAGGAAGTTAATAAAAACTAATAATTCTACGTGCGGGGCATACCAGTACTACTTAGATGTCATGTAAGTCTACCAAAAACAGAAAGGCAAAAGCTTCAGTATTTGTTTAAAGCAAATATGCTTACATCATCAGTTAGGTAAGTTTTCCCATCTGTTTAAGCCGGAACCCAAGTTACAGATTATTCGAGACAGCATTTAGATGAAATGAAATCAGTTATCTTCTGCAGCGCAGATGTCTTTCATAAAGAAGAGCGTTAGAGGACTTTTGTGAATGGAAAATCTACATAGACTGTTGCTTCGCCTCAGCCAGTCTTGAGTGGGTGGCTCCGTGAGCCAAAAGCACGCTCCATGTGAAGCTCCTGGGCCCCTGATCACACTCAGGAGAAAAGGCTTAGAAACAAACATTCAGTTGCAAAGCACAGCAAAGCCTGCGCCTTCCTCGGTGACCAGAAAGCCACAGGAACTGGGGTTGAGAGTAACAACACCGTATCACTTGGTTCTGCCTGAGCGGGTGCGGTCTGCGGCGCGCGGCGCAGCCTCCTCGGGGGCTGTCACAGGAAAACGGGAGCCTTGCTTTAACCGCACCAAGTGACAAAGCGCCAGCTCTCCCGGCGCGGGGGCTTCCGGCGAGGTCCAGCCTTCCGCCCCGTCAAACTTCACGTCAAACTTCACGCCACAGACACTCAGCGCGGCCGAAACGCTCGCGCCCCTCTCCCCGCCCCTGCACGGCTTTATAAGGTTCAGACGCACCTACCGCGGGCCCCAAAACCACCCCCGCCAGTTTTTGGAACGCCCCAATCCAAAAGGGGTCAAAGGAGTGAAAAAGGAACTCCCGGCGCGGGTGGTCGGGAGCAGGCACCCGCCGCAGAGCAGAAACGTGGCTCAAGGGAGTGCAGACTCCGGGAGGGGCGCGGACGCGCCGCCCCCGCCCCCAACTCAGGTAGCCGCACGACACTCACCGGCGCGGAGACTCCGGAAAGGCAGGGGACCGAGGCTTGGTTCCGGAGGAGCCCAGCACGCGTCCGGGCAGACCCCAACTTCTTACGGCCGGTGTAATCCGCGGCAGCTGGATCGCGAGCCCAGACCCAGGGCGCTGCCTCGCCGCTGCCTCGCCGCCGCCGCCGCCGCC